CGCTCTACCACTTGAGCTACAGCGCCACTTCCGGTTTTCTGGTGGTTTATTGGAGATAGGAGTCTCAGGGTCTCTCCTGCCCTGGCTGGCTTTGAACCTTGATCCTCAGATCTCAGCCTCCTGAGTAGCTAGGATTACAGGCGTGACCCACCAGCGCCCGGCTAAAAAATTTCTTATGGTACTTATAAAGGTGATGTACAGGGGGTTTACAGTTAGATAAGTCAGGTAATGGGTACGTTTTGGTGACTCTCATGTCCTTGCTTAAGAAATGTGACTGCCAGCCAGATGTTGCTTGATGTTTGCTAGTTAGTAATTAACTTTTTTTCTTCTTGAAGAATGAAAGAGATCACAAGGTATTTTCTTAGCTGAGAGACTGCAAATTGAAATATGAAGTATCCCTTGAATTTGCTGGTAGGATGCACAGTTGCCTTTTCTGGAGAATTCTGTAGCTGTCATTCATGCATGTGCTTTGTGTCTGCTCCCACAGTTGACCTGTTAGGCCTGTTAAATTGGCGTTCCAATGCCCAGAGCATCGAGCACAACCTCAAGAAGCTCATGGAGGTGGATGGAGGGGAGATTGTTAAGGTATGTCAGTCTTCATAGCTAGATCTACTTCTGTGTGCGTGTGCGTGTGCCAGCACTAGAACTGAACTCAGAGCTGGCATGCTGTCCCTTAGCTGCTTCTACTCAAGGCTGGCAGTCTACCACACGAGCCAGAGCTCCACTTCTGGCCTTTTCTGGTTAATTGGAGATAAGAATCTCACAGACTTTCCTGCCTGGGCTGGCTTTATACCAAGATCCTCAGATCTCAGCTGGGATTACAGGCGTGAGCCTCCAGCACCCAGTGAAATGTAACCTTCGGTGCCTTTATGTTAACATTTTCTGCCAGTCATGGTGACTAGAAGACTTCTTATCTGCACAGCTCATTTGTAAGAAAATGGCATTTTAAACCCTATTCTTCTGGAATATCATTGTTCCTGAATTTCTACCACACAAGCAAATACGATTTCATGTGAGCCAAATGGACTCATTGAAGTAAACCTCTCTGTTTTTCTCGCCTTCAGTTCTTGCAAGATACGCTGGATGCACTTTTTAACATCATGATGGAAATGTCGGACAACGAAACGTACGACTCCCTTGTGTTTGACGCACTGGTAAGTGGCTCAGCTTTCACGCTCACACTGGGGAGTAAAATGTCGTGGGAAGTTCCACACTGCATCGGCGGTGAGAACTTACTGGGATCAGCCCTCAGAAAACCTGTCCGAGTCCCACCCTCCGTGTGCTGTTCTCTGCCCTGGCTTTTGTCATCTGCTTACTGAATGCCCTGCTTTGGGCCTGCCAGCTCCCTGCGGTCAGGGGTGTTGGCCTGTATCCATCATTCCTGGCCATCAGTCACGAACCTCATACATAATGGTCTCATCGTTCGTGTGAAATAAATTTCAACCTGATGACGTGACTTCAGTGTAGCTGTGATTCAGAATTGTTCAAGAACGAGGAGGAGTCCTGCTGGTTGACAGCATGCCTGGCGCTGTGGCCTGCAGCTGTTGACGTCCCCCCCCCCGCCCCCCCGCAGGTGTTTATTATTTCACTGATAGGAGACATCAAGTTCCAGCATTTTAATCCTGTCCTCGAAACCTACATTTATAAGCACTTCAGTGCCACCTTGGCATACGTGTGAGTAAAGCACAGGGGACCAGCGCGGTGGCAGGCTGGCGGGCTGGCGGGCTGGCGGGCTGGTGTTCCAAGGGCTGGGTGTTGGAGAAACGAGAGGAGTTGGGTAAATGTGCCTGTGAGTGGAACTTGGTTGTCAGCGTTCAGGTGGAAAGAAGGAGTCATCTGTGTATTTTCCTCCTGGGAAAGAGGTCACCTTCCAATCCTTCCTTCTGGACATGGCTATATTTTATTTTACTTCTATTTATTTATTATTTATTTTTGTACCAGTTTTGGAGCGTGAGGTCTGGGCCTAACACTCTCACTTTGTTTTTTTCTGCTCAAGGCCGGTGCTGCACCCTTTGAGCCACATTTCCACTTCCAGCTTTTTTAGGCTGGTTGCTTAGAGATAAAGAGCCTCTCT